TGATTGGACCGAATGTCTAAGAAACTTTGGAATCTGGGTGCTGAATATAACATAGGTATAATTCTTTCCGGCATTGAATATTACGGCCACATCTGATTTGGCGCTCCGGCTCGAGATCCTCGACAAGATCCCAAGAAGTGTCTGTAATGTTATCGGTCCTGATCTGGCATCTCGACTTCAGTCTCTTCTCCAACACCATAATGTGGCTCTCCTCTCTCATTTCTATATATATTTTCACGGCTATTATTCTAATGAGCTCTCCTCCTTGGTATCTTGAAGGCGTGAAGTTAACCATACAACAGCATTCGCTACTAGATCTCACCATTTTACTGTTGAACTAGCTAGATGTAACCGCAAGTTCTATTCTAATAGTTCCTTGTCTCAAACTTCTCACCGGTGGAACTTTCTTCCGGTTTCTTGATTTCTTGCCACCTTAATAAATATAAATGTAACCACAGTCACCATAGATTGTTTTTTGTTTTTTTTCTGACCCCTGTTCTTTTATTGTCCTTTCTCCTCAATAAAGGTCTCTCCTTTTATTGGACTCCTATTAATTCCTTGTGTCTTAGTGGCATTTCTTGCAATGAAACGATTAAAAATAAAAGCAAAAATAGTCCAGTCAACACAATATGACCAAATATGACCATAGATTAAACTGAAAACTGTTTATATTTTAAATCATTTTTGGTCGTTATTTTTCAGCATCCCTATGTATATATCAGTCAATTATGTGCTCAGGCGATCATGTATCTTTCGATATATGACTGAAGAGGATTCATACCTTTCCCACGGGTATTAGAACGTAAGTAAATGTATTGGATTCGACTGGAATTCGAACTCGGTTCTCTGATTCCTCAGTCCGAGCCGCTATCCATTACTCCACCGTGCCGCCTTTATGGATATATATTTAAGCATATCATTAAGTCAGAAGACTTATAATGAGAAAAGCATACTTTTTTCTGTTCAACATAATCCCCCTTTTTGCTACCTCGACTTCAATAATTTCAGCGCTGTGCTGGATTAGCAACCAGCTCGGATTAATTAACTCTTGAAATTGGTAGATCAAGCTGCAATTCTTATGCTAATAGTTTATTCTCTGGCAATTTTCGTTTGTGGAATTTTCTTCCGTCTTCTTGCTTACCTGTCAGCTAAAATCCTCAAAACTTTAAATGAGCGTCGGCGATTGTACCTTTCTATAGATTCATTTAATTTATTTTATTTTTTTAATTCTCTGGTTTGCCGTGATATATTGGAAAAAGTGAAATGCTTCACATTGACAGAGGAATGGAAAAACAATAAATTACCAAAAGTTTCAATGGGTAGGATGTTGTGCAGGGCCATGATCGCCCACGTTCTGAAGCGATATGGTACGTATAAAAAAAGAAGTAGACCTTCTCTTAGTCTGTCTGACACATAAAGCGAGAAAAGTATCTACGCTGATATATAAGACATAGCCTAGGGAAGAAGAGATTGGTTGATACCTTTTCCAAGGGCATTAGTACGAAAGTGAACACAGCAAACTAGACTGATATGTGAACACGACTCACTGATTCCACCCAGAGCGCCGATAGCTGTTAGGCTACCCGTGCATTCATATATTAGCTCTACACATTTTAAAATACATATTGTTAAATAAAATATTACTTGAACTTTATATAGTGACTTTCCAAGCGTAGCTTAGACATGGTAAAAGGCCGAAAGTATGGGGCACACAGTTAGGATGGTGATTAAACAACATGAGAATTCCTCAGATATGTAGGACCTTCCTCGGTATTCTTGCTTCTGGTCTTTTGGCATTGTTCCAAGCAGCTCTAAAATTCAAAGCCCGCACTGTTCTGTTTCCATTGAATGTCGGGCCATTTCTTTTTAATATCTCATTTTGAATCTGTAGGCCGTTTGCTTCGCCAGATCCTCGGCATAAGGATTTTAGCTCAATAATAACTGATAGATTTTCCCTGGAGTTCAAGTAGGCGTATATCTCCGTACTATCTCTCCAGTTACGTAATGCTCTGGTCATCGTCTTTTTTCATTTTTTTTGGCAAGACGCTTGACAAGTGTTCCACGTGGTCTATTAATGACTGGTTCATCTAGTATCTTCATGTGTGGCAATATTATGCTAAACTTGCACAAGGTGCTGTTGATTTGTCAGCTTTTATCTCTGTTCTAGAAAATGCTGAAGAGCGACGTAACAAAGGAAGATGCTGATGCGAACGTAATCGACTTAGTTGTACGGATTTGCGCATGCGCGAAAGGACGAGCAAAAGGAAGGTTACTAACAGTGAGGAAGATTAATGCAAAATTTGTTTTCAACTAAAATTCAAAGCAAATGTAGCTATGTCACTTAACTTTGGTCTGCAAAAATTAAATTAGGCTAATTTCTCGTCAAACAAACAAGTTGTGCCTCAAATGGTCTGATTTTTAAAATAGATTGTATTTTTAGATACATTTTCACTAGATCTGGTAGCGGAGAAGAGAGCTATACTCCCCCCACCTTGGGTTATAGTGTTCCAATAGCTTGGTCCGATTTTAAATATGAATTAAGTTTAAGTGCCTAATGAGTTTTTTTCTTTTCTTTTTTAGATTTGGCGGATATTTGGGTGATATTATTTTTCACACTTAATTGCCATGATTTAAATAACATGATCCAATAGAGAAATAAATAATTTTTCCCCAATAACACTGATTTATTTACCGCTAACTTTGATCCGTCTTAATGAAGCACCCTTATATATAATCCCTCTTATTGAAACACCCTTTATATGTTTGTTTTTTTTTTTCCAGAAAATAACCGGCTTCTCGGTGTCGCAGCAGAGCAAAAAGAATAATGAAATTTAGCAACAACCCGAGTACCAATTGATTGAACTGTTATCCTGTGGACGACGTTTTATTTCCAACAGCTTTTATCCTTGGGCCCTGAGTAAAATGAACGATATCGAATGCTGATAATTTTCAACGTATTTAAACGTTTTTACTATTCTTAATTCGATCGTGATTTGTGCGTGTGTGTTTGTGTGTGTATGCGTTGATAACCGTGGGTATTGCTGTCCAATTTCATTGTGCATTACAAATTGCACAGTGGCAATAAGAATAAGTAAGTAAATAAATAAATAAATAGTATCAACATTTTTCAGTATTTTTCATGTGAACGGTTATCTAGATGTGTGTGATGGCAAAACATATTCTTTTCAGTTTTGGCCTGTGAATTGTAGGCAAAAGAAACATCAAAATGAAGTGTTGCTATATTAAATTGTTTTTTATTTTTATTTTACACAAATGTGTGTTTCGATATCAAGGTGATTATTCAATATTTTCATCCCATTTGGCTTCTTAAATTGCATCGAGCTTAAACTTAAAATATATTGTTTTTCCATTCTACTGCAAATCATACGCCAACAGCGAATAGAAATTGCAATAACGTAATATATTTAAACATTGTATTATCAGCCAAAAATAAACTGCTTTTAAGAAGAAAATCCATCGGGTTTTACAATTACTCCCTGATTAATCTATGGAGCAATGTACCCCATAATCTGATAGTTTCTCAAATTCAGTTTGACTATATCCAGACTGCTGTGGTAAGGGCAGATTTTGCCGCTTGATTTTCACAAATCCAGAGAATTTTATATTTTTATATTCTGCGAAAGATGTCGATTTGTCTTTATTCCTTCGATGTGAATAGCGAATCGCAAATGTTGGTTCAAGTCCCAGTGGAACCTTTCCCAAACCAGTTCATGCCTGCCCCTTTTTTGCATTCCTTTTGTGACAGCTTTCTACATTCGTTTTATACGATTGACATTCTCGTTGTTGTTGTTGTTCGCTTTCTTTTTCTTCGTTTTCTTTTTCTTACTATTATTTAGATGTGTATGGCTGCATTAAGAATTATTGCTCAAAGAAGATCTCTAATAACAGGAATAATTACAGAAAGATATGAAAATTAAATGTAGTCGTACGCGCATGCGCAGATGCACCAGTAGTGAAGGAGATAGACGCGCCTGGAAATTTGCTAAAACAGAAGCAATCGACGGGCAGGTAAGAACACGCGCTCGCCTAAATCAGAAGATAAACGAATCAAATCTAAATTGAATAGAAATTATCTATGATGCATTAATTTTACAGGTGTTCAACTTATACACATCGGCATTAATACGTACATATATATTCACATATATATCTGTACATGTATATATGTGAATGAATGTGAATGAATTCACATTCACGTATGTATATACATACATACATATATATATATATATATATATATATATATGTATATATATATATATATATATATATATATATATATATATATATATATATATATATATATATAAACACAATATTATACAGATTATCCACATACCAAATTACAGATACGCACAGACACATACACAGACATACATATACACACACACACATATATATATATATATACAGAATATTCTAAATATATGTACATGTTGTAGATAGACAGTTAGAAATGAATAGACTGTGGATAGATAGATAGATAGATAGATAGATAGATAGATAGATAGATAGATAAATACATACATACATACATACATACATACATACAAACAGGCATACATATGAGACTGAGATAGACAGTAACATAGAGTAATTCTATAGTGGAATGAACAATGGTGGCTGGCATAAATAAATATATAAATAAATAATTTCACGAATTTATCTGTTAAAATTTAAACTCGGCACTAGATAACGAATTTGTATTTGAGTGCGCTGCAGTTCACATAAACATGTGTACGCAACTCTGGTTTGGTTATAGTTAATCTTGACGTGTTTGAGGAAATCAAAATTTTATGCCGTTTTCATGATTATTAGACTGGTATCAAAGAGGGTGAATTGAAGGCTGAATTTGATCGCGAGAAGGCAGAAGAGAGGGTGAGACTACAAAGAGTAATTCCAACGAGGCTACACTTTAAAACGGGTGACGAGGTTGGAAGAATGTGGTTTAAGTATAAAGAGAAGGCGGAGGAAAAGTTTCATGAGAGGTAGGAGGGGAAACGGTAGAGTGGTAAGCGGAGACAAATAAGGAGGAAGAGTGAGCTTGTTGTTGTTGTTGTTGTTGATGATGATGATATTTCCTCAGATATTGAGATTATGATGTTGAGAAAAGTGAGAAGAAATAGATAGATAGGAACAGATTCAGATAGATAGATAGATAGATAGATAGATAGATAGATAGATATGAAGAGAATGAGATAGATATTAACAGACACTGGTAGATATTTACATACAGATGAACAGACTGAGATAGATAGATAGATAGATAGATAGATAGATAGATAGATAGATAGATAGATAGATAGAAACAGACTGAGACAGATATGAACAGACTGAGATAGATAGATAGATAGATAGATAGATAGATAGATAGATAGATAGATAGATGGAAACAGCCTGAGACAGATATGAACAGACTGAGATAGATAGATAGATAGATAGATAGATAGATAGATAGATAGATAGATAGATAGATAGAAACAGTCTGAGACAGATATGAACAGACTGAGATAGATAGATAGATAGATAGATAGATAGATAGATAGATAGATAGAAACAGCCTGAGACAGATATGAACAGACTGAGATAGATAGATAGATAGATAGATAGATAGATAGATAGATAGATAGATAGATAGATAGATATGAACAGACTGAGATAGATAGATAGATAGATATGAACAGACTGAGATAGATAGATAGATAGATAGATAGATAGATAGATTTTTTATTGTCTACCTTACTTTTTGTTTTTTTTCCTCCTTTCTGGTTCTATTTCTCTTTATTCTCTTGTATTCTTTCTTCCTTCCTTGCTTCTTTCTTTATTTCTTTCTTTCTCTAAATTATTTCTTTTACCCTTTCCATCCTTTCTTTATCTTTCCCTATTTTCTTTCTCTCTTTTTTCTTACCTTTCGTTTTCTTTCTATTTCTCATATCTTTTTTCTTTTCCAATTTCTTTCTTTGGTCTTTAATTTTTTTTTCCAATACTAATTCTTCCATCTTTTCTTTCCTTATCTATTATTTATCCTCTCCCCTTCTTCCGTCTCCTCTTACTTCTTTCTCTTCCTGATAATTCTGTTCTTATATAATAACATTTATAAAGACTTCTTACTGCTCCTAGTATCACATCTTTCCTGTGATAATTTCTTTTATTATTTTGGACAGTAATCTTGGCCCTTCTGTGCAAACAAAATGAAATACTTTTCCTTCAAAATCTATATGATTCTTTCTTTTCAAAACGGATTTCAGATTATTATCTTTTTTAAGCATTTCACCCAAAGCAAGGCTGGATGCCACTAGTACGCAAGGGGTTACAGAGTGGGAGCGAAAGTAAAGAGGCGTGATAGAGAAAAGGATGAAGAGAAGACAGTGGATAGATCAAGGCAAATGGAGATGCCGATTGACATTACATTTGAATAGCTGGAGATTATAGCTATCAGGGAAACAGGAAAAGGGAACTTCACAGATGGGAGGTGCGATACGTAAAGCTATTGGAGTAGAAGAGATGGCCACATGTAACCGTTTCGACAGTGAAAGGGTGGAACTGTGATGTCAGCCTAGTAACACGCTTAAATTCATGCAGTCTGGGAACTAGCGAAAGCAGCTCGTAGGAGCATTTACCGTAAAAGTATTTGTAGAAAAGTCAGAGTGGGAGCGACGGCACGTTTGTGAGAAAGCGACTTTCGACGAGATGCCAGATCAGGACCAACCACATTGCATATACGTCTTTGGATATTGTTGAGGACCTTAAGGCGAACATCAGGTGCACCAGACCATATATGCACTCGGGCGAGAAAAACTTTTTGGCGCGACACAGGGAACCAAATTTCTTTGCGGTGGATGAAGCTATTGATTCAATGTTATTTCTCCATCTCAAGTCAGCGGACAGTGTGAGACCAATCAGTCGGAAAAAGGTGCTCGCGTAAAATTATTATTATTATTATTATTATTATTCCTTTGATTTTTGGTGCATACTCATTTCTTTCCGGCTCCCAACCAGAGACCTAAGATCAGAAATGGCCTCATGACATTTTCGCCATTTTTGAGGAAAGAACCCCCCCCCCCAAAAAAAAAACCTAAGATCATGCATAAAACTTTTTGTAATATGTGAGCTGTACTTGTGAGTACAATTACAATTTTTAAGGCCTGGGCTTCCAGGAATCCCTTCAATGAGTCTATCGGAAACTTTTTCCCTCAATCCGAGTGCTCCAACTACAACTGGGATTATTGATATCCGCATGGACCACATCTTTGTGATTTCCACTTTAAGATCCTTCTATTTTGATAGATTTCTTTTTGAAGATCTTCAAAAATAAAATAGAATCGGCATGAAAAACCATGTCAATAAGAAAACAGATTCTGTTCTTGTAGTCTTTGATCACGATGATTTGATTGTTCTCTCTCTCTCTCTCTCTCTGTGTGTGTGTGTGTGTGTGTGTGTTTTAAAGTCCCATAAAATTGTTATAGATCCTATCTCTGTAAGCGGATCTAGGTGAGGTTCATACCAGTTTCTTGCAGTTTCCTTTTCGTAAATTTCCAGTGCAGATAAGCCCTCACTCTATCATGCTAACAATGTGCAACGTGACACAATATGCTCAATCGATTCTGTATATTTATTATTATTATTATTATTATTATTATATTTTACCTTTACTTTGTGTAGTACGATTTGCCCCCAGGTCTCAAACATAGATCTCAAGAGACAACACGTTTTTGCATCAGAAAATACAAAATAATGCGGTTTATTATAAACAAAGCATTTACTTAAATATTTGTATCTATAAAATTAACATATAAACAAAAATTATATCAAAATAATTGTCGGACATGGTCCATTTCATAATATATTGTGTCATTTGTTTACGTTAAGATACGCTTCGAGCAGACATGAACGCTCGTGGAAAATCATCGGAAATTTGTAGTTTAAAAACAGTAACTTAACTTTACAAACCAGTCGCTTCCTCTGTAGCTAAATGCCATGTCTAATGGATGTCAGTTATCTCCTGTTAATTCCCCTCTCCAAGTTATCCACTGCCTTAACCAGGGATTAAACTCACACTCTTTGGGTCCCGTCACTGGATCTAACCAACGCTTTCTTCCACTGTGCCATGTGTCCTTGAGGACATCTGTGTATGAATTTCTGGGTATTATAAACCTAATGTCTCAGCAACCATTTGTAAGTTCAATACCCGGTTAAAGCAGTGGAGAACCTGAAGAGGGGAATTAACAGGAGATAACTAATAAATGACATCCATTAGGCATGGCACGTGGAACTAGAACAGTCTACCCCAGTGAGCGAAATAAAGGGTTCAATTCCACATTCCAACCACCTGAAGAAGGCCGGAGAGTACAACAGCCGAAACGTTGTAATAAATATGGAGACAAAGATGAGGACAGTTGTCCGAATAATGTATATAGTGTACATAATACCTCATCTCAGAAATATAGACAGATACTGCCATGAAAATGATTATAAAAAAAAAACATGTCCATCGTATTTGGTAATTCTCTGGCAGAGTGCAATGACTGAAACATTGTGATTGTACAAATCTAAGATAAATACAACAAATCGAATAAATTAGTTTTAAAATGATAATTCTTTAACAATTCGCCCTTGCATGGAGTATTGCTGCCATATATGGTCTGGAGCCCCTTCTGTTTGCCTCGGGGTTCTTGATAAGCTCCAGAGGCGGATATGCAATGTAATTGGCCCTGTTCTGGCATCTCGTCTACAGTCGCTCTCTCACAGATGCACCGTCGCCTCTCTCTGTCTTTTTTACAAATACTTTCATGGTAATTGCTCCGATGAGCCGCATTCGCTGGTTCCCAGACTTCATAAATTCAAGCGCCCTACGAGGCTGGCATCCCGCTCTCACCCTTTCACTGTCGAAACTACTAAATGTAGCCGTCTCTTCTACTCCAATAGCTTCATGTCTCGCACCTATCGCCTGTGGAACTCCCTTCCCTATTCCAGTTTCCCTGAAAGCTATAATCTCCGACTATTTAAATGTAATGTCAATCGACATCTCCAGTTGCCTTGATCTATCCACTATCCTTCTTCTCATGCTTTCCTCTATCTGATCTTGCTCCAAATCTTCTGTAACCCCTTGCGTCCTAATGGCTTCCCGCCTTGCTTGGGGTGAAAAGTTTTAAAAAAATAAATAAAATAAAAAAATAAACTAAGAAATAAGGAGTAATGAGCTTCATCCCCAGAACTGCTACTTTGTGGAAAAAGCTCCCGAGATGATGCTTCCCTGACAACTAGAATCTTGCTCTCTTCAAGGTCAGGGTCAAATGGTATATATGCTAGACCTCTGCATAATACGCGATTCTTACTTCCTCCTTCTCTTACAATACACTCAGCAACTATCTGCCCTGAGGTACTCTTAGGCCTTTAACAACATTGCTCGGTGAGAAGAAGAAGAAGAAGAAGAAGGCAGAGGGGGAAAAGGAGGAGGAGATGAAGAAGAAGAAGGACTAGGCCAAGAAGAAGGAGACGAACAGGAAAAAAGGATGGAAAGAAGAAGAAGAAGAAGAAGAAGAAGAAGAAGAAGAAGAAGAAGAAGAAGAAGAAGAAGAAGGCAGAGGCGAAAAAGGAGGAGGAGGAGAAAAAGAAGGACTAGGCCAAGAAGAAGGAGACGAGCAGGAAAAAAGGATGGATAGAAGAAGAAGAAGAAGAAGAAGAAGAAGAAGAGAAGAAGAAGAAAAGTAGTAGGATTAGGAGGAGAGGAAAAAGAGCTGAAGAAGGAATGAATTTTTAAGAAGAAAAAAGAAGGCGGATGAGGCGGACAAGAATAAGGAGGGGAAGAAGAAGAAGGAATTAGCCGAGAAGAAGAAGAAGAAGAAGAAGATGAGTATTTTACGTAATACTGCTTCGTTGCCATTTTAAGAATTAAGAATTATGCTATTTTATCACGTTAATTCGTATCTGAAGACGCAAAAGCAACGCTTGAAAGAATAAATATGAAGGATAATTTTCTTGTGCGATTTATTTCATGTTCTCTTATTGAAGTTCCAAGATGCTTCGAGAATTCCCCGTGCAGGCAACGTTGATAACTGAAAATGGCGATGGTAATTCTGCTAAGTCAGAGGAAGGACGACGGAAGTTATGGAGCTGACGAGACTCTCTTTAAAAACGGTGTTAATTGCGCCGCTAATTATATTGAAGACGATCAGGTTAATAACGATAGAGTTGATAATGATTAAAAGGATCGGAATGATGACGACGATGACGATGATGATGACGATGATGATGATCCCTCTTTTAAAGAATGCTGATAATAATTTTGTTCGGAGTGGAATAGCAAACGAATGAGAAGGAACGCGAAAGGAAGCAGACGAACGTGCGGAGGAAGTTGATACTGTTGTCGCTTTTGATGCCGTCATAGTTTTGGTATCGTTTGATTTTGTTGAGTCGGTTTTTTAAGTGAATTTTCTATTTTTCTTCTTTTTTTGTTTTTGTTTTAAATGGAATGAACGAAGAGGAAGGAGATGAATGGAACTGATGAAGAAAAGACACAAGGAAGGAAGAAAAAGAAGAAAAAATCTATCGAACTGGCACTTTAGGAAGTAATGGGTTTGAATGGATTGGGAATAAAACTTCTTGTAAGCGTCGTGGGAAAGATGGAAAGCGAAGGAGAAAAAAAAAAGGGGAAGAGAGGAGATAATAATAAGAATTGACAAAAAAGAAAAGAAAAATAGATAGAAAGATAGATACACGTGAAGAGTAAGATAGATAGATGTGAAGAGTGAGATAGATAGATAGATAGATAGATAGATAGATAGATAGATAGATAGATAGATAGACGTGAAGTGTAAGATAGATAGATGTGAAGAGTGAGATAGATATATAGATAGATACACGTGAAGAGTAAGATAGATAGATGTGAACAGTGAGATAGATAGATAGATAGATAGATAGATAGATAGACGTGAAGTGTAAGATAGATAGATGTGAAGAGTGAGATAGATATATAGATAGATACACGTGAAGAGTAAGATAGATAGATGTGAACAGTGAGATAGATAGATAGATAGATGGATAGATAGATAGATAGATAGATAGATAGATAGATAGATAGACGTGAAGATAAAGATAGATAGATGTGAAGAGTGAGATAGATAGATAGACGTGAAGAGTAAGATAGATAGATTTGAAGAGTGAGATAGATAGATGAACAGAAATAGAGAAAGAATAGTTAATAAATAAAGATGTTCCGAAAAAGATGTACAACAAGAAAGAAAGTAAAAGAAAACAAAGAATTTATGAAATAGAATAAAGAAAGAAAGAAGGAAAGAAAGAATGGAAGAAAGAAAGAAAGAAAGAAAGAAAGAAAGAAAGAAAGAAAGAAAAAGAATATATTCAATAGAAAAAGAAAGAAAGAAAGAAGGGAAGAAAGAAATCAAAAAGAATATCTTAAATAGAAAAATATAAAAGAAAGAAAAAGAATATATAGAATAGCTAAAGAATTTAAGAGAGAAAGGAAGAGGCAGAATTTATGAAATAGAAAGGGAAAGGAAGGAAAAAGAAAAAATGAAAGAAAGGAAAAAGAAAGCAAGAAAGAACAAAGAAATAAAAAAAAGAATATATTAAACAAATAAATAAATAAAGAAAGAAAGAAAGAAAGGAAGAAAGAACTAATGGAATAAATAAATAAGTAACAAAAGATTTTGATAATGAATGAAAGAAAAAATATGCAATAGTAATGGCCATAATAGAACAAAAGAAAGGGATTGGAAATTAATGAAAAACTTGTGATATCGATAGAAAGAAAGAAAGAAAAAAGAAAGGAACTAAAGATAGTAGAAAATCAAAATGTAAAGAAAGGGTGACAAAGGAAGAATTCGAAAAAGAAAGAAAAAAAATCTCAAACCAGCAATGGAGATTGAAAGAAACGCTATTCTACAATGCAACAAAAGGCTTCTCAAATTAAAACTAAAAATATCGCAAATGGCGGGCAGGAGAGAACAAGAATAAGAAGAAAGAAAAAAATCCTCCGAAATTGGAAAGAATAAAACGGAAAAGGAAGGAATCGGTGTATGAAAACAAGCAAAATAACGTTTAAAAGACGAAATGAATTACAGAATAAACGAATGAATAAACGAATGAATGAGCGAATAAAAGAGCGAATGAATCGTTCCACATCGCAAAAGACGCGAAGAAAGAACTAAATTCTGTTTGTTATGAAGGGATCCAAATTTTAAGGACAAAGCTTTCAGTTGACAAACACGAGGACGGAAACATACATTCAAATAGGCGCGTTCATTTATGTACTCACACACGATCGCGAGCGAACGCGCGCGCACACACACACACACACACACACACACACATATATATATATATATATATATATATATATATATATATATATACGAGAAACCCATTTTGGCCTTTTCGGTATGGCTGATGCTAACCTCCAGGTCAGTGACTCGTACAGTTTTCTCGGGCTAACATTTTCCGCTGATATGAAGTGTAAAATTATATTCATTTCATTGCTAGGTCTGTTGCTAAGCCATCCTGGGTATGACGATAAACTACTTCCCGCTTCCGCCCAAAAAAGTGGTTAAAACACTATCAAAGTATAAAAATAGGTTTTCATACCAGCAATACTTTGGGGAAAAAAATTTACCAGAAATACATTTTTGAAAAAATTTTTTACCAACAATATATTTTTTGAAATAAAAATATTGTCGGCATTGAGGTGAATATGCCGTACACAAAACAAATCAAACCAAACCAAACCTGTCTATATTTCTGAGATGAGGTATTATGTACACTATTTACATTGCTCGGACTATCATCCACGTCTCTGTTGCCATATTTATCACATAATAAATATGGCAACAAAGAAGATGATACTGTGAGCAATGTAAATAGTAAACCAAACCTGTTGTTAAGAAAATTGGTTGTGTCATGCTAGAAATTTTTTATCGCCAGAATAAGTCTAAAAATCGTCAGTGATTTGAATATTGTTGCCACATATGGTCTGGTGCTCCTACTATACATTTAAAGATTCTTGATAGAATTCAAAGAATAAATTACGATTGGTCCTGACCTGGCATCTTGGTCTTTGTCTCTTTCCCGATGACAGGCGTAACGTAGCTTCCCTCTGTCTTTTCTATAAATATTTTATGTTAACTGTCCTGATAAACTTTCCGTTATTCTATGAATTAAAGCGCAGTACTAGTTTAGCGCCAAGGTCTCATCACTTTAAAAATGAAATGGCTATATGTTACCGTAAGTTCTATGTTAACAGTTTCTTCTATCACACTTCCCGCTTGTGAAAATCCTTTCTGGCCTTTTGCTTCCAAGTCAGTTTTGATCTTCCAAAATTTAAATATCACGTCAAAAGTTATCCTTTGTTTTCTTAATTCTTGTTTTATTAATGTCAGCACTCCTTAATAGTATTTTTCTCATACTCTCTAACACTCAGTAACCCACTTGCGTCCTAGTGGCTTTATTGCCTTGATTGGGATGAAATTAATATGAAATTTATATATATATATATATATATATATATATATATAAATTCATATTAATTTATAAATATATATATATATATATATATATATATAAATTTATATTAATTTATATATATATATATATATATATATATATATATATATATATATATATATATATAAAGAAATGAGAATGAATTGAATCCAATTCAAACGTTTGTAATATTCAACTAAGAGAGAGCTGAATACAATAGTAGAACTAAATTTTGTATTTTAGGATATTAAATCAACACGTGAAAATGCTCCATAAATGCAATCATGTTTGCATGTGTATTAACACATTTCATCCGGAAGTATGGAGGAATCTCAATATATCCTAAAATAAAGGCTATATATATATATATAATATATATATATATATATATATATATATATATATATATATGTTACGAAGCTTGATTTAAAATCTATCAAGACCAAACGCCTTAGTCATCGACCAAACAAATAAACAACCAGGGTTCAGACATACTCCCGGATTTTTAACATTGGCGGAGTAAGTTATCTAATTTAAATTAAATTATGATTATTACTAATTACTCTCAGATATCCCAAGGCATTTTCTGTCACACACACACACACACACACACACACACACACACACACACACATATATATATATATGATAAATGTTAATGAGCCAGGTACTACCTACCTAAGTTTTACCAAATAGAATCATCAGGGTATTGAACACTCATCGTTTTAACTTATTACTGGCTGTAGTTTTTTTTTTCTCTTCTTTGTACCAGAAATTTAAGGTACTGGACAATTTCTTTCGGCCTGTTAAAAGGTTTCTGGTATTTGCATGTTTTTCAAAAATTTTTTCCTCGGATGCCAATTTGTTTGAAAATTTTGCTATCCAGTTTTTTTCACCCACAGAGTCTAAATAGATTTACATTTATATATATATATATATATATATATATATATATATATATATATAATCCAGAGTGCCTCCTTACATATATATATATTTAGGTTCCAAAAAAATTTCGCTTGAAGATGGAACAGAGCTTATTTTAACCCAATTTAATTTAAATAAATTTAATTGAAGTTTTAGGCTCTTGTTTTGAAACATGAGACTTCTCATGTAGCGTTTAGGAATCATATTTTTAAATAAATAATTATATTTATGCCCTACTTTTGTATCGAGCACTATTTTATAAAAATAATAACTAAAATACTAAGGAACTTTGGATTATTTACCTAACCAGTTCCTTACTATTTTCTATATATTTTCATATATATTAATCCAGAGTACCTCCTTACGTATATATATATATGTTTTGACATAAAACTCTTCCTGAATCTATATCCTCCTGGAAATTCCATAAGGATTACTATATTGTATCATTATAATATATATATATATATATATATATATATATATATATATATATATATATATATATATATGTGTGTGTGTGTGTGTGTGTGTGTGTGTGTGTGTGTGTGTGTGTGTGTGTGTGTGTGTTGCTAACATTTGCTGCATGTGGATACCCACTCAATAACAGAGATATACTATTTAAAGATACAATCTCTGGGGCCATATGAATCAATTCTGCATTGTCATTGCTAGTGTCAAATCTCAGCTCATTTTTAGCCCATGGGACACTATTCCTTTAGCGGGTTATATATCTAGGTCACTGGAAAATAGAAGATATCTATGACTATAAATAATCCTAAAGAAATATCCCTAGAGGAAAAAAAAAAATTCCAAATGGCTGTCTCTCCTTTCCTCAGTTTCTTTTAAATCCACATTGGCCTATATATAAAGGCCACTAAATGAGTATGAAAATGGCGTGATGATCGCTTGAGGCGTGAAACCGATAATCTCGATACAGTGTTTATTGCTATGTCCAAATAGATAGCACACACGTCTGCGTGCACAAACAATAACCTAACCCCAATAAGAGGAGCATGCAAATTGGAGTATAAATTATGTTAAACTTAGCGTAAAATTAAGAAAAATGATAAAAATTGTAATTGGTATTGATCTAACTAGACAACCATGCTAACCATTACAGTGCCTCAAAGAATTTAGTAAGCGTAGATTACTTATGGCACAAGGCCGAAAGCCATCCCCCCCAGTGGACAGAACGATTAAAAAAGTGTGCGTCTGCAAAACTCCGAAAGTGAGTATTATTTACATTATTCGCACTATTGTCCACATTCTTGTTGCCATATTTATTACAGCATTTCGATCGTTATACGCTCCGGCCTTTTTCAGGTGGTTGGAATGTCGAACTGAACCCTTTATTTCGCTTAGACTGTTCTAGTTCCACGTGCCCATGACACATGGCACAGTGGATAAAGTCGTTAGTTAGATCCAGTACAGGACCCAATGAGTGTGAGTTCAATACCCGGTTAAGGCAGTGGAGAACTTTCAGAGGGAAATTAAAAGGAGATAACTGATAACGGACATCCATTAAACATGGCACGTGGAACTAGATCAGTCTACACCAGTGAGCGAAATAAAGCGTTCAGTTCGACATTCCAACCACCGGAGCGTACAACGGCCGAAACATAATAAATATGGCGACAAAGATGAGGACAATAGTCCGAATGATTTAAATAGTTTACATAATACATCATCTCAGAAATATAGACAGATTCCGATATTAAGGTTCTGAATATAAAAGCATCTAGAATATATATATATATATATATATATATTTAATTAATTCTGATAGAAACCTCAACAGGATTAGAGGAAGCACTATTTCGTCCTATAATTGGGACTCATCAGCAGTGCGCATCCACCACCGAGTATCGAAACCCTGACAGTTGGGTTGTCAAGCGAACAACATACCAACTGTACCAAATGGGTCTCGGTAACGAAGAGATTCCAAATCAGACTCAACTTAGCGCCGCTCGCTCACATATTCCGTGGCTGAATATATATATATATGTATGTGTGTGTGTAGAAGATGGAGAGAATAGGAAAATGAGTGTAGAAATACGGGGAGGTAGAGATTAATGGAAAGACATGAAGGGAGGAACAATGTGAAACTGAGAGAAAAGCCACTAGGGTAAACCTTCAATATTTGCAACAGTTCGTTACATTGAGTGAACTGAAATTCGAAATGTATAACAATATTTTTTTTTTTTTTTTAATTCTGGTTTCAAGGCTTCTTTGTTTCAACCTGGACTTCATTTATTCTTTTTCTCACACCTTTTCTTTTATGTTGTCTTCAGTTGACGAGTTATTAGAATTAACCAGATTTTGTTTGAAACAATAAACAATAGCCTATTGCCCTTTCTTCTTTCTGAGTCCCCATTCTTTATTGTTGTAGGCGTAAACATCACCGCTCGATTAAGCATATGGAAACGTGGCCTAGATAAATTGAATAACTCTGTGCTTCGATTGTTCAATAATGGCAAGAACAAAACGCCAATAATAATAATAATAATAATAATAAATGGATGTGCAGGTAATGTAATGGATAGTGGCTAGGAAAGAGACATCGAATGAATATGTTTGAATTCAAATTGATTTCAATATACAGTGTAACCCGGATATAAGAGAGTTGTCGGGACCGGAGAAGAAGTCTCTTATATCCAGGTTTTTCTTATATCCGGGTTTGGTCTATTTTATATACATTAACACAGGCTCTAATTTGG